CTTTTTTTAAAAATTTTAATATACCTATACAACTAGGTTTTTTTGAAAGGTTTAATATATACGACAATTTTTTTGAAAAGTAAAACAATACTGTTTTGTTTTAGTTGTGATAAGAGCGTGTACTTGGCGCCTTTTTTTACCTTTTTTTAAAAAAGGTAATTTTTTGATAGATATCATTTCTTTTTTTTTAATAATATATATACGACAGTTTTTTTTATTTAATATATACAACAATTTTTTTGAAAGGTAAAACACTGTTTTGTTTTAATTGTAATAAAATTGACTGGAAATAATAAATATTGTTGGAACTAATTTTGTATACATAGAACAAATATTAAACTTTGGGTTATTTAATTTTATTTATTTTAGACAAATCATACACTAAAGTCTCTAAACAATTGTCATATAAGGCATAGTGATAAATGGTGTGATTGTATAAATTTTAATTTTATCATACATGCTGTTAAAAAAGCACATGTTTCAAGACTTTAGTGTATGATTTATCTAAAATAAATAAAATTAAATATCAAGGTTCAATATTTCTGTTCTATGTATACTAAATTAGTTCTAACAATATTTATCATTTCCAGTCAATTTCATTTTGTTTTACAAGATTTTTTGTTTAGTTTATGTTTATAATCTTTTTTCTATGGATAAATAAAATTCAATAATATACCTAAAATATGATATGAACATTTTTTACACTTAATTCTCTGCCCACACTGTGATGTGGATAATTTTGTTGTCAATCATAGCGTTAACTACACAGAAGGCGACTTATGCTATATTTTTTTAAATATAAAATTGACTGAAATTATAAATATTGTTGAAACTAATCTAGGATACTCAGAACAGAAATATTAAACTTTGAGCTATTCAATTTTATTTATTTTAGACAAATCATCCACTAAAGTCTCGAATCATGTATGAATAACCTGCAAAATAAAAAATTTTCAAAGATGTAGTAGATACTTACTAAGACATTCACATTCACCAACATATCACTTATTTCATTTAATACGAATTTCTAACAAATTTGGTCACTCGCACTACACTGCTCTGGATTAATAAGCAGTCTTGAGTGTGCACCAAAGTAACAGAACAATGTAGTGCGAGTGACTAAATTTGTTAGACCGAATTCACTATTATTACTTTTTTATAACACTTTCTGATCTGAAAGGTTATGTAAAAATGTCAAATCGTAAGCGCGCACCGCGCGGCTTCTCAGCGCCATCAGCGCACCTAACGTCAGAAATCGGAAACTGGACATTTTAGCGGAACATCCTAGAAAAGACAATTATTTCAACATTTCGACTTTAGACTCTTATAACTTTTTTTCTACAGCACCTACAGTAAAAACAAGCATACTTTTCTTATATAATTTGGGTATGCGCTATCGATTGAGCCTATTATCAACTCAATCGGCCCAATCGTTATTGAGATCCGATAATCTCGGCTCGTCTCAACTTTCGGGCTCGCGTAAAGATACACGGTCGGTCTTGCGCTGCGCGTGAACTTGGCGCGAGACACTAGCATGTCTCTTGATGTAAATTATTTGATTTGACAGATTCATGGTGTGAAAATATCAAATCAAAATTTTTAATGACTATCTTCTGGGATATATCCTGCATTCTGCAATTATCAACTTTTGGAGGTTTTATCAATTTATATACCCAGTAAGCAAGAAACATTAAATCAACGTTCTAAAATATTAATTTTATGTAAATTTTTATAATGTTTAGATATAATGTTGTATACATATTTTAAATATATTTTTTATAATATAGTTTTCTTAAATATCAGAGAAATATTTTTAAAACATTATTTAAAACTTTGTTTTCAATGTTATTTTAACACTTCTATTTGCTGCAAGTTCAACATAGTGACAATAGTTTTAATTTGATGAAATCTTATGTTTAAAATAACGTTATAATGATAAATATTTTGTGTTGTTTTAATGATTTTTTTTATATTATTTTAATATTAAATTTATAAGAAAGAAATATTATAAAACTATTTTATAGAATTATATAAAGTAAAAATAATCGATATTAATATTTATGTAACTAACATTAAGTTTGCAGATAAGTAATGTCAAAATTCTTTGCGAAAGAAAGCCCTATTATATATAGCTATCTCTATCTTCGATGTAAGCGTCAACTCGTATGAACGCGCAACGTGCAGTATTGCCAATACTTAAAATCTATAAGATATGTGACATGATATGAAGTTCATATTATGAACTATAAATTTCCAGCACTGACAGCAGTGAATTTCGGAACGCAGCGTATGTGTAATCCTTTTCGGCAGCTTCATGATGTGTGTGCAAGCACGTGCATATATAATCTCATATATCTTTG